ACTTGGACAACTGTTAGTTCGATGAATTATTTACGTTGTTCTCACGTGGCATCTATATTAGCAAATGGTTCCGTCTTAGTTGTTGGTGGATACAATGGTGTTTATTTAGCTACTGCTGAAGTATACAACCCTACAACAAATACTTGGACAAATACAGCTAATATGAGTTATGCCCGACAGTCACCTACAATATCTATATTATTAAATGGAAAAATATTAGTTGCTGGTGGATATAATGGTGGTTCGTTAAACGTTGCTGAATTATATGATCCATCGTCAAGCACTTGGACAGTTACAGGTAGTATGAATTGTGTACGAAATAGTCATGCAGCATCTGTATTAGCCAATGGAAATGTATTAGTTACGGGTGGATGTAATAGTAATAGTTTTGCTGAACTATATAACCCATCAACAGGAAATTGGACAATCACAGGAAATATGACTGCTATACGCGCTTCTCATACAATATCCACATTAACAAATGGAACAATATTAGTTGCTGGTGGTGTTTTTAGCAGCAATATTTATTTAAATAGTGCAGAATTATATTAAGCATCATGAAAATGACAACATTTTCTATTGTAGTTTGCAACATAAACTTTCTTTTTCAAATTATAACTATTTATTCATAAATGCTTTAATAAAACTATCACTAATAATATCTTAAAATTGTTGAATAAAATCGATGAATTTACTCATATGTATTAACAGAAATAAGAAATGTTCTTTTAATGAACTTGGTTTATTAAGAAAATACATAGAAGATATTAATGAGAATCAAACGATTATCTAATTTTAATATCAAACTTCCTTTTTGCATCGAAATAAGATTAAAACTAAACAAAATATATCTAATAAAAGTATAAAGAGAAAGTATATATATATATATACGTGCGTATTATTTTAATAATTTCTAAGATATAGATATATCTTTTATAAAATCAGTCAAAGGCCAAGACCAACGCACAAAGTATGAAAAAATTGATTTTCGAATACGAAACATGGTCGAAGAATTTCATCCTGTTTCTAGGAATGACTATTTTAAAATAGCTAGGTTAATGTTTAATTACTGAACGAATACATTCTTTACTCTCAATTATTATTCACTTAGCGTATTTGTTTGAGGGTGTGGGTGTGAAATATTCCTTGCGTTCATTACTAACACCCACACCCACACCCACACCCACACCCACACCCCACCCACATTCTTTTACACATACAATTCTTCTTCTTCTTCTTCTTCTACTTGTATTATTTATTTGGTATTTCTTCTAAATCAAACACCGATACGTCGAATATTCTAGTAGATATACTCGCTCTTACAGAGATATTTTTTGACATTATATTATGCTTGAGAAGCAAGCGAGCAATCAACAATAAAATTCTCTTGAAAATGAAAACAAACATAAAAAAAGATACGAAAATTCGTTTGCTAGTTTAGATAGTTAAAAGCTACAAAAAAATTATTGATTTAAATAAAATGTTTGTATTATTAAGATAATAATAAGAGTAGCCATTACAATAATATTGTTGTTATTTATATTGGATATATTTGATTCTGAAAAATATGGTGGAATACCTTGTGGAAATCTAAAATACCAAGTAGGATCATATTTAGTATTAATTTCTCTAAGACGTTCCCAATTATTTCTATAATACATTTTTTCCCAATTAGGTAAATATGGATCAATATAATTAAGATATGCTCCAGGAATACTATGCGTAGATGCTGCTGCATCAATTAACTTCCTTTCCATAGTCTGAGCCATATCTAATGCGAGCGGATCAAAATCAGCATCGAGCCATGAAACTCCAGGAGCAATGTCAAATGAAATATCAGGAAAAGCAAAGGCTGTATTTTTATCTTTGTTTGCATTGTGTAGATATACAAATTCTGTCCATGCATCAATTTGATGAGTAGAATTTGGTTTGAATTCTAAAATAACATCTAACATAGCATCGGTGATATTAATAGCCATAGCAGATAAGACATGTTCTCGTTTGGGTACAGGAAATGGAACTGCAAGTTCTCTGGCTATATCAATTTGTGCATAATGTACCACATTGTAAGGATTTGGTTTCGGATCTTTAAATCACCATGAATCAAATATTGAATTAAATTCTACTTCTGGACCATTGAATGAACACCATATTGTAAGAAAATTACCTGAATTTGTTATAACTACAATAGTATTAAATGAAATTCGAGTATCGAAATCAGCAACTTCTTTTATGAAAGTAAACCAATTATTGAGAGCTTTTCTTATATCAGTATTGACCCAAGTTAGATTAAGAAATAAATACTGGCCATTGGGTAAATTTGTTCCATTGATTCGATGAATTTTTTGAGTCATTTCTAAAACAAAACCAAAATTTCCACCTCCACCACCACGAAGTGCCCAATATAAATCCGGATTAATTGTAGATGATGCTGTGACAATAGTTCCATTATATAATGCCATTTTAAAATTAAGAACATTATCTGATGCATAACCATATGAACGACTATACATAGCATTATAACCACCTCCTACTGTAAAACCCACGACACCTACTGTTGGACACAAACCACCTACAATAATATGTTCAGATCCATTTAAAACTTTATAAATATCACTCCATAGAACACCTGCTTCCATTGTTACTGTTTCACTTTACCAATCGATTTTTAAGCGTTTTAAAAGGACAGAATCAATAACTATACCTTGATGACTACAATAACCTCCGTAACTGTGTCGACCTCCCATAATACGAATAGGAATTTTAAGAGAAGATACTGTTGATAGTACTAAAGATACATCATCGAATGTTGCAGGACGTATCAACATATTGGGCCATGTTTGTATGACTCTATTGTGAAGAATAGCTGCTGCATGGTATTGTGAATCTGTGATTCGTAATACCTGTCCACCATGCGATATTATTGTTGATTCCAATTTAGAAAGTGGATCATCTTGACAATAAATTGTATGAACAGATAATAATATAATCAATAGAATATCCACATTGATATATGATTTTATCATTGTCAATGTTTAGTATAAATTTAGTAGAATCAGTCTATTAAGAAATAATCATAGGCACTTTTTATCAAATCGATTACACTATACACTGAACGCGTTACGCGTACATCATTGAATAGGATAGTCACTAGCTGTGAATAGTAATAACAGGGAACGAGGTTTCTATGTCTATCCTTAAATGTTAGGCTAGTATTCTTCTCAAACCCTTTTCACGTCTGTTAACGACCACTGTTTTGTCACTTACCAGAACATTAAAACGGTTTCTTTCACGAACTTTTGTATAGACAATGTGTGAATAAATATCAATCTCATATCCCAGGTGTGAATGAAAGGATAAAGCTTCAAAATAAAACATATAATCTTTTTATAACACAAAAGATAATATCGACAAGGATTATTTTGATTGTTTACTAACACACGCATACAGAAATTGAGTTATGTTTACTAGAATGTTGACTGAAGTATTTGAGTGTGCAGTTGCTTTTTCGTATGATATCATACTCACAATATAATCTTTGTAATCGCACAATGAAAAAAAGGTGAAGAGCGTCTTTGCGTCGTATCTTTACTTGGTAAAAACAGAATATAAAGAAAGATATCACACAATGCGCAGTAAATGCATTTTTATGGTACTTCAAAGCTACCTTCATGTGTGAAAATAAATGAATACTTTTGTAAAATTCGAAAAAATCTTGTTCATTGATATGTACGATTCTCTACTATTCGTGCCAGAGAAAAGTGAATTCAATGCATAAATGTAAGTTTATTTATTTAAAACTCTATTAATATGTATAGGTTAACAACAAATAGCTTGTTTAAATAATTATAAAGTTATAGTTTCTTCTTTTCTATCTTAACGCCGAGAAGCAGCAGTATTTGTTTGAGTACCAATAATAGCGCGTCGTCGATTGTCCACAACACCAGGCCATCGACGACAATCAATTACATTTTTCAATTTCTTTTTTACATGTGGTATTGTTGTGAGACATGCAAATGGCAAAAAAATACATGAACCATATCCCAAATAATCTAAAATTAGTACTTGAATATTTGCTGGTATTGGTTGAATACCGGATGTTAATTGAAATAATGGATTGATCGTATCAGGCACGTTAAATACAATGCAAACGAAAGAGATGCTCACTAATTGTAGAACCATTTTACGATTTTTACGCCATTCTGCTGCTTGCTGATGCATACGTCGCTTGTGTATAATAACACGCAGAATAAGAAGTATGCTAATGAATGCTTCTAAGAACAAAGGAATGACTTCATGAGCAAGATATTCGTACAGACTAAGCCAACTAGGAATGAAATAAGAATAACACACCCATCCACACCAAACACTTTTATAATTAAAATTATTTTGACATGGATAGAAGAAAATAAAAATTATGTAATACATAGTGGAATATATTAGAATAAGTGCCAATGGTTGATAATGAAAAAGCAGTTGTCCACGCTTCGTACGCACTAAATGTGCATGGAAAACAAGCATATGACCTGTAGAAGAGAAAAAAAGTAGTATTTATTTTTTGATTATTGCATGTGCTATCTTGAATACTCGAGCATCTCGAAATGAAGAGATCGTGATATCAAAAAAAAAAGTTCAGCGACAGCACAGTTATCTAATGACTAAAAACATCTCTGGTTCTCTCCGTTTGATAACGTCAAGTAGATGCAAATAGTGAAGTGACTTACGTTCCAACGCAGCCCAAAGCATTACAAGAAAGCTAGTAAAGTACGCCCAATAATCGATAAAATTCCAAAAATAACATGTTGCTGGTATTGCTGGTTGTACAATACCTCGATGTAGCCAAGTAAGAATCAGAGATACATCAAAAAGTAGTTGAAGAAAATTGAACAGAAGCAGAACAAGTATAACATGATTGTGAAGAGATTTTCTCTGAACTTTATTTGTAAGAATGTGAAAGAAAACGAATAGATATACAGGCAAAGATAATACTTGTCCAGTTTGTAGAATACTATAATTAATCCGCCTAAATTCTGGTGAATCCAAAGAACCTGAATTGTCCAAAGTGTTGTTGTTTTTCGACATGCTAATTTACAAATGTTTTTATCAGAAATACAACAGTCTTTCTACCTTGTCAAGAGCACTATCTTTTTTTATGCTTCATGTCATAGATTAAGAATATGACAGGGATTGAATGGTTTTGTATTTTCTATTTCCGCTTGCCGTACTCAACAATCTTCATTTTTTAATCATCTTTTGTTATCAAGTATGATAATTGTTTTTCTAGAACTATCCTTAGTAAGTCCTCGACGGATGTTTTTTTTCTCATTATTTTATTTTTGTAATCGTCGTCTGTTGTCGTTCTCTAAGATTTGTCTCTTTCTTTTTTTTTGTTCTTGTATACGTTCTGGCCAGGATGATCAAATTCAACCATTGTAACGAATGTGAAAACTAAAGTTTTATTGATATTTTTACGAATGGATAAGATTAAATGTCAAGCTCACTCTCAAGAGAAAAAAAGATCTCAGAAGTTTTAATAAAAAATGTTTTTAATGTGATTCATAAGTCTTTCATAGAGAAAGTCACAATAATATAATGAAGATCAATAGAACCCGGAACGGTGTGTATGATGACGCGGAATAGGTGGAGCTATAAGTATGGGAAGTGGACGATGTCTATTGACAGGACGCATGATGCTATGGCGCCGCTGATGACGAGGAACCGGTTGCGAAGGATATCTTGGCACCACTACTCTGCGTACCACTCGTATACTGTCTTCGTCGCGCGATATAAAATAACCGACTATTGCTTGTTCTAGTTCTTCGATTCGAGTACCTGTTGATTGTAGATCAAAGAGACGCTTGTCTCTCAAATACACTACACCTGTTCGTTTGTTTCGTTCGAGATCTTTTCTTGGCGAAAACTGATAGTGCGATAAAATTGACCTAAAGAAAATTGAGCCTTCATATCAGAATGAAACTAGTTTTCTCTCTCTCTCTCTCTCTTACCATCGATTAATGTAATTCCGATTAGTTCGACTACCATGCCAACGATGATACAGATTCACATCGACATAACCCACAAAAGCACCATTACCAGCTGCTCTAGCAACTCCATCACCCCAGTTCGATACTTGCATCCGATAATCCTTGTGTAACCCACTAGGAAATGTCTCTTCAACACGACCTAAAAGAGCATACGCCAAATGAAGATCACCTGAACCAACGATGCAAAAATCAATAAGACCACCGATGGCATTAAAAGTATCTCGATGCATCGCCCAGGCATAACCTGGATGAGCATACCACTGAGAATGATGCGGATATATTGGCTTATTGTGACGAATGGAATATCCAAAGGAATGATCTCGTCTCAGAATTTCCTGTTTACCGCTGGGTCCTGTAAAATAACCAATTTTGAACATTTGTACAATGGGATATCGATCAAGAGCCTTCATTGTCAAGTGAGGCCAATTGAGATGCTATAGAAAGAAATGTATACTTCTCAAATTAGAAAAAAAAAGTTGATCACCTCAAATTCTACATCAGCATCGATCCACGCAATTCGATCAATCGTCGGTGGTAACTGTTGAACGGCAATATTGATTAAGTTCTCTTTCATCCACATAATGGATGGAGCTACAACTTGAATATGTCGTGGATTGTCAGCTTGTGTCACTTCGAATCGCTGTGGTGGCAAACCGAATCGTGTTGCCGAATCGAAGACACATTCAACAGTGAATAAATTAACACCAGAACGTGCCATGTGATTACGAAATTTATAATATTGTTCATATCGACTACGATATTGAACAGGATTGAATATAACTGATACAACACCCAAACGTGATAAATCATATTTAGGGGTATACATCCGAGCGATATGATGATTGAAAATATATTCTATTTAGAAGAAGGCCAAAATATATTAATAGTGTTTTGACTGTTCTTTGCTATTTTTATAACGATATAAAATCAATTTCATCTTTCGTACGACTGCTACTAATGAAGCTATGCATGACTGACGCGTTTATTTATACAGAATAAAAAAAAAGTAAAAAAAAAACACATGGATTTGTGTCCTATTTACCTATAATATCAAGTAAGTTTTGGCTACTACGAAAATCAATTTATAAAATACATTCTTCGTATTTAATCATCAAGTGAAGATAAATAGTATATTTTTCTATTGAATTATTTATCGTTTTATATCATTTCTAGTCTTTGTTTTTGAATAATAATAATATATCAGATAATAAATGAAAAAATATTTTCATCAATTAGAAACTATATGAAAATAAATTCTACTTGTAGAGAAACATAATACGAGAAGTTATTTTTTAAATCAGTATTGCGCATGTAAAAATAAAGGAAAATTCGATATTTATTTAAAGTATTGTAAAAAAAAAGCTTCATTATCAGTTCTCATTGTTAGTTATTCACAATACTTGATTGATAACAATAACTAATGCTAATATAAACGCTTGATTTTCATCATCAGCTATGGCAACAGCGTACGTATCTGCTGCTTTGAGATATTTTTTACTAATATTAGCAACACTTCGTTCTCCTTTAGTAATCCGAAACGAGTGAGCAAGCATATCGACTGCTTCAATTGTATATTGACCATAAATTGAATCGATAGTAAATTTTTTGTGAAAAACTCGAAACTTTTTTTTAATATGTGCCAATGAACATTCAGAGTTTCCATCACCTGCTGACATGATATGAAAGGTCGGATGCAGATGAAACAATTCTTGACGAATCTTGATCAACTCACTGAAATAACAAACAGATTTATGTATATGAACAAGAATATTGAATTGTTACATTAAAATATGATAGAAGATCTTTATCTATAGGACTTACTTTCCATCTATATCTTCTAGTACCAAGTTATCACCAATAGACAATATTTTCGATCGAACATTGAACATGTCATTACCAAGCTCATCTTTGATTGTGAAATTATCACGAAGCGAAAGAATCGTTCCTCGAATTTGATAACGACAAATACGTTCTTGAGATTGGTTTGACGAGTGATTATTAGAAAGTCGACTGAACATAATAATAATAATAATAATAACAGTAATGAAGATTCAAATAATTTTAGTATTTATATATGTATATATTAATTCTATCGATGAGTAATAAAATCCATCATTAATATACAAAATTATTTCATCTATACGATTATTAAGTTTACATAATGACTCATCGAATAAACGTTGAATAGGTATAAGCATTCAAAACAAAAATTTGAATCAATGCCATTCTACATGAATACATGCAATTATTAGCTGAGTATACTTTTAAATATTTATCAATATGCATGATTACATATCATTTCAGGCATACATAATATTGACTGTTGGCTGAATGCAGCAAACGTCGAAATTTGACAATCCGTCAATAGTCTACAAACGAACCATTAGAAAGAAAAAAAAGCGATATATTTCATTTGAGAAGTAATTTTAAGTTCATCAAACTAAATTATTCCCTAGGTTGTAAGGATAGAGTTTAGAAACGGCAATCGATCTATCTCCATGTATCATTTTTGCCGGTAATAGGGCACAAATGACTACGTAACTATGACATATTTTCAATAATATAATTTTTATTTGCTAATATCATTTTATTTGAATAAAATAATATTTAATTTATTTATGTCAAAAAGTTAAATATTTGAAACATTTCTTAATAATATATATGTGATTATTTTATTGAATAAATTAAAATAATGATTAGATTTTCTGCTGGAAATCGAAACTAATGTTTATCGATGAACGTTATTTGTTTATCTATCTTGAGGGTGTGCTTGTAAGTATGTCTATAATCTTAATCCTTGATCGACAACCACACCGACACATATACTCTCAAAACTCTTAGCAAATAGTATGACTTTTAAATTTTATTCTTTTTTTAAAAAATTATGTTATCTTCATGTAATATTATTAATATTACTTTTACAAAATATAAATTTTCGATTAGTATATTTTTTTATTAAATCCATATTAGAATAGACTGAGAAAACGTCGGATTTCTTACGATGATACATCTTGATGGCAAACGATCGTGTAACCAATGAATTATTCTATCTGTGTTCGACATGTTTTCATCATCACCATTTTTAAGGTGCGGTGATCCTGTACAATCGGCAATTTTTAAATGATTTTTCAACCATTTCGAAAGCTTCTTTTTTTTTAACAAATGTTCATTATGTGATCCTTCATGGTGTTTTTTAATGCTTAGAAAATGTTCACGAGTTATTTCATCATGACATTGTACATCTAGAGATCGGAGATTGATCATATTTTCAACCAGATAAACAATACTTTCATAACTAATCACATTTATTGACAACTCTTCACACTGAGTACCTAATGCTGAATGAACTAAAATTTCACATTCTTGTTGGCTGAAATTGTGATTATGACATTTTAAATAAAGTTCACGAATTGATGCATTTGTACATTTAAATAATAACATTTGTGGATGCGAGGATTTATTCTGATCAATAACTAAACGACAAAGATTAGGTGCTCGATTAAATAATGTTTGTAATTGAGATTGAAAATGATCTATATGCGATGATAAGATCATCAGTGAGTGTAATCGATTTAAACTTGGTACAATCGACCAAAACTGATCATTAATAGGAAGTGTAATAGATAGATGTTCAATGTTACGCATACGAACTGTTGATGGAATACGTCGCTGAGAAAACATTTCGTAAGAAACGTCAGTAATATTATCACAAAAATTTTGTTGATTATCATACGGACATGTTGATGTCCATGAATCAGGATAATTAAATGTATCTCCAAAATCATGGAATCTATGAGATGATGTATAAAGATAAATAGTTCTATCTCGTATATAACATTGAACAAACCATTGATGTTCATCGATCCAAAACGAACTTCGATATGAATTAGCTATATCACGGAGTAATATCTGTGGATATAGTTCACCATAAAAACGATTCATACTGAATCGAAGTGTTTTGAGTTTTGGTAAATAATTACGAATAGCTTCTTCCCATTGATAACCATAGATTAATCCTGTCCTGAAATGGACATCCAAACAACGTAAATTAGGTAGAGCTTTTAAGAAAATGACTATTTGAGAAAAATCAGATGAGAAAAAAACATCAATTTTTAACTTGATCAATGCCGGACGATAAAATAATTTGTAATTATCATGATCAGACATAGCCATAGATATTGAAAGATGTGTAAGACAAGGTGTACTTTTAAATAGCCGATTTATTTGTTTCCATTCTAAATGATGTCCTTTCACAGATAGATATTGAAGAGTAGAAGAGATAGTTGTTGGTAAACAAAATAAATCAAGTGAAATACCAATATCAAAATCACATCGAATAAGTTTTGGTAAACTCCAAATATTATTAATCACAGGTTGAAGTTCAGGACGACTAATTCGTAAATAAACAAGAGATAATCTTAAATGAGTAAGATTACAAAGCTGATGACATATATCTAACAGTTTTAATAATGTTTCTAATGAAGGAATATTTGACAATGAAAGTGTTCGTAAACAAGTAAATTGATTCCATGAGGGAATATAAGAAAGAAATAGATTGATTTGTTCTGGTGTATTGTAACTCTCAGATAGACAAATACCAACAATTTTATCAGCAATAAAAGGTATATGTTGTTGACATATTAGATCAAAATAAAACTTTGATATTGATGCAAATTGAAAATGATAAGTTCGAAATTGTTTATAAAGAAGATTATTGAATCGTGAATTAAGTCCATAAAATGCACGAAAAAGATCAATACCATTAATATAATCGAAGAGTTCAAGAAATATTTCATTAGGAAATGATTCTATATCCATTTTATCAAGTTTTTTTACTTTACTCCCTAAATATTTGCTAAGTACAAAATACGATACGATGATGTTTTGTATTGCGCAGAACGAGCAATCGACGTTTTTTTTCTTTTGCTTTCAAAATAATAATGATCATATCTATATATAACGTATGACGGACTAACGAATAAATCAATTGAATTAAACAGGGTGTGGCTTTCAAAAAATAAAAACTAGATTTTATTTATAATTTAAAATAAATAATATTTAGGACTTTTTTAAATGTATTAGATCAGAAAATTATAATTATTAAGAATATTTCGATGAAAATAACGAACGATAACATAAAAATAAAGATGTCACCATGCGACGTCAAAATTAATATTATACGATTTTAATGTAGATTATGGATGGTTGAAAGTATTATGCAATACTTGATCATTTATTTTAAATTTTAAAAAAGAGAGTCTTTCGTTGAATTCTTATAAAATCAGCATAGATATAGATTTCATTGGCGATTACATAACATGAGGAAAGTTAAGTTTTTTTTATCATTTGTTCGTTATTCTCGACAAAGGTAACATTGAATCTAATAAAGAAGATAACAAGCTTATTTGACATTTAAAAATAGACTTTTAGAAACATTTTTGATCATACTAAAAAATTTGTTTTTGTTTTATTAGCACGACAATTAATAAAATATAAAATGTCTCTTAGGAGTATCTCATCTGGAATATTACGTACACCCAATTCGGCATTTGTCAATCTATTAGATTATCCTTTTCAACCAAATTATATTGATTTATTAAATCCTGGTTCGATTGGTGATGGTAAAACAAAATTACGTTTACATTATTTAGATGAAGGAAATCAAAGTAGTCCGGAAACAATTTTATTATTACATGGTGAACCAAGTTGGAGTTATTTGTATCGTCATTTTATACCAAAATTAAAACAATATCGAGTTATTGCAGTTGATTTAATTGGATTTGGTAAATCGGATAAACCAACGAATAAAAATGATTATACTTATCAAAGACATGTGAATTGGATACGAGAATTTATTGAAAATCTTAATTTGAATAATATTACATTATTTTGTCAGGTAAAATATACAAAAGAAATAATTGTAACTTGAAATGAATTAATTTTGTATATCTAATGTAGGATTGGGGTTCTTTAATTGGTTTACAACTAGTTGGAACAAATGGAGTAGGTGATCGTTTTGCACGAGTTGTTGCGGCTAATGGTGGATTACCTACTGGTGATGGAAAAATTTCTAAAGGTTTTATTCAATGGCTTGATTTTGCATCGCAACAAACGGAAATGGATGTTGGTCGTGTAATCAAATCTGGAGTTGTTAAAGATATGAAACAAGAAGAGATTGATGCATACAATGCTCCTTTTCCAAATGAACAATATCAAGCTGGTGCTTTAGTATTTCCATTATTAGTACCAATAACTCCTGAGAATCCTTCATCTGAATATAATCGTCAAGCATGGAAGAATTTAAAGAATTTTAACCGACCATTTCTAACTCTTTTCTCTGATTCCGATCCGATCACAGCTGGTCTTGATAAAATATTACAATCGATGATACCAGGTGCGAAAAATCAATCACATACGACAATCACTGATGCTGGACACTTCTTACAAGAAGATAAACCGCATGAAATTGTTGAACATCTTATCAAATTTATCAAAGATAATCCTTTAATACTTGCACGATTATAACCGCAATGACACTTAAATAAACTTTTTTTTAATTTTACAGCAATATGAAAAAACTATTTCATCATTCGTATTAGAAAGAATTGTACCACAAATTTAACATAGAGATTTTTCTTAATATTTTCGTTCATACGTATATTTAATGTATTCTCAATGAGAGATTTTGCATCTTTGCCTTTAATGAGATGAATAAACTAACGAGAAAGCTAGATAAAGCAATTCAAATAAAAAAATTGGTACAAAAGTGCTTTAGAAAAAGGCGATAAGGTTATATATACAAGAAGAAAAGAAAAACACGTCTTGTTGTCTCTTCGATAAGCAAAGAAGAATTTGACGCCTAACAGTATATACCATCTGTTCTTCTGCTTATTCGTATATTTATTTTATATAGAAAGAAACAAACGTTGTTTTTGTTGGTTGACGTTAATTGTAAGAGAACGATGATTTTTCTATTGGTTCTTGCTGTTATAATTCTACTAATATGGTATACGAAAATGAAATATTTTACTCTTCGCGGTCCAATACCTGGCTTGTCACCTCATTATTTCTTTGGCAATACAATTCAGTCTGGATTGGTATTGAAAGACTTGAGTCTTCATGAAGTTTACAGGACATTCAAAAGTCGTTTTGGTGATGTTTTTCAATTTTGGTTTGGATCTGCTCGTGTCATTGTTGTAAGTAATATTATCGATGTGCAACACATATATACTCATCGCAATATTTACGAGCAAGGCGATATGTTGGTAGAGCAAATCAAAGTATTTCTTCATGACGCTCTCATTTGCCTGAAAGGTTGATTTTTCTTCTTCTTTTCTTACTGAAGATTTTGTATCATCATTTGTAGGTGCCAAGTTCAAACGACATGCCTCACTCACTATACCCTTATTTCGTCGTAATAAGATCATTCCGAATTTTGACTTGATTATTGATTGTACGAATAAATTATTGTCACAATGGCGTTCGATTCCTTCAAATCATATTCATCTTCATATTCCTCAACAGTGTCGAAATCTTCTTCTGCTCATTTTTGGATTTCTTGCATTTGACTACGATTTGAAGACATTCAGTAATACTGATAATAATGAACTCACTCAAGCGCTTACAGATTTCTTGGAAAGTATCTATCCTGTTTTCTTTTTACCAAAAGTCGTAGCCATAATCTATCTGCGATTGAGTCGTCGATATCAACGAGCACGAACTATTATTCAACAACACGTATATCGAATAATCGATCATGAATTAGTTGATTGTTCAGAAACGATATCAGAGCGTAAGAGAACAAGTTTAATTGCTTCATTGGTTTCCGCATTACAAAATAATGAAAAAACAGAAATGACTAAGAGTGAAGAAGAAAAAAAAGGTTAGATTTATTTCTTATAGTATATCATACTAATAGTAATCGCTCATTTATCTTTATTTCAATATAGGTCTCAGTCGTAGTGAAGTGCTGGATGAAGTGTTATTCTTTCTTATAGCTGGTTATGAAACGACATCGACTGCCCTATCATGGTTCATACATCTAGCAAGTAAACATCCACGAGTCCAACAAAAGATCACGCTTTTGTCCACCAGCTGATGGTTCAGCTCGTTCATTAACAATTGATGACCGTCTACCTGAGAGTGGTACTCAATTATATGCAGGTGACGAAGTAATTATTCCATTTATGAATCTCGCACGAGATCCTCGATATTGGTCTGTTGATCCAGAATTATTCTATCCTGAAAGATTTCTAGGTGAGGACAAAAATCATCAATTCTATGCATTATTACCATTCGGCAGCGGACATCGTCAGTGTATTGGACAGGATTTAGCTCGATTTGACCTGAAAGTTATTATAGCAAGATTAATGCAACATGTAACATTTGGAGATGGTGGTCCAGAAGTCAACGCAGGTGGATTTGTTCAAACAGTAACTATCATGCCTAAACATGTTGGTGTTACTGTTCAATTCGAACAATAAAATGAACATATTTATATTCTTTTTTATCGATAGCTTTGCAACTCATTTAATCAAGAATATACCATCTCTGCCAAATACGCGAGTTGAAAAGTGTAGGAGAACCCATCTACGGCAAGACGATGTAGGTTAGGTGCACATTTAATGTACTGTATTAATATATCAAACATAGTTCCACATTCAAGATACAAAAATAAAGTGCGAAGTTTGCGCATTGGTAAAAATGGAAGATTTGTTTCTTTTAATGGATACAGATAGTGAAGTTGAATTGGATGATCATTCATTTCGATATTAAGATATTTGAGATAAGGCATATATTTAGAGAAAGGTATTAAGACATACCAATCCCACTGCACACCTGTAATGGTCAAATATTCAATGTTTAAAAGAGTAGATAGTTGAACGTTCTGGTATGTATAATGACGAGGAAGAGTAAGCGAAAGTCGTTGCAATGTTTTAAAAGTAAATATTGTCTCAACGACTTTTCCTCATGAAGGAAATAATGATCATTTTATCATTTTAATTGATAAAACTTCGATATTCGTATCAACCAATGAGAGAATAGCATTTTCTACATGATTTGAATGAATATATCCTCCACTGCAATGTATATAAAGTGAACGAAGTTGTTTGAAAAGTGTAAATGATGGGAAATATTTCAAGAACATATTAATTTGGCCAGGTGCACCACGCTCAGACAAAGCTAATCCTGTTATTTTATCGAGATAATTCGGAAGAAGATGAATACAAAAACGAAAATTATCTAATCGGCAACCAATAAAATTAAAATAAAGTTGTTGACATTGACTCAAAAATGCATCGAATCGACTGCCAAGTTGATGAAAAAAAGCAACGAAAATATCGATTCCATCAATGTATTTCTCGAAAAGATCAAGTAAGATTTCGCTAGGAAGTGATTCCAATTTTGAGAGTGACATTCGTTATTTTCTGTATCTTCGCGTAGCAGTCAGGCAAATGTTGAAAAAAAAGACGTTTTTATGTGTTAAAAAAGTATCTTCTTTTTCTATAGATAAGACAGATAACGTGTTTATATCATTATCATATCTTGAGGGTGTGGGTGTAGGTGTGTCTCTTCTCTTAACTCACACCTACACCCTCAAGATGATCTTACTTACATGCGTGTTTATTCTGCAAGAAAGAATAGATATGACTCACTTCCTTTGATGACATCATTTATCTTTCTTGTTATTCTCCATATGCAATCATCCATGCCCAATCCCTTTCTTCTCTTTATAATATAAACGAAAACAAGTTGTGTATAATATAATATACCTCACGTTGTGTGAAATATTTGAATGCGTCAATCCGTGTTCGCTACTGTTATATGGATGAGATAGAAGTTTAGAAAATCGAAACGAAACATTGTCCTTCAACTCAATTATTTTGATTATAGCCATATATTTTAATAACTTGACAATTCCACTAGACATTCAATCTTATTTCAAAAGACAGTCGAAAAATGTATTGTATTCTCTTATAATTCTTCATGATTTGTTCTAATTTTAGACTCGCTGTTTTTATCTCCATTGATCAAAACATTACAATAACATGAGCAGAGAACAGTTAGATATCATAAACAACTTTGTATATTCTAACATTTCTTGATTCAGTTTTTAATCTAATATTGCTTTGTTTTTCATTGACTGTAGCGACGAAAACGATCGTTTGATAATGATGAGCTACCTCAGTCGAGTATGATACATACATCTTCTGGACGAAATAGTATTGATTTGGTGGAAACCGATGACGAAAGTTCACTAGCATCTTTACAAGAACAAATATATCCTGACGAAGTCAAAAGAATCCAACAGCAAAGACTTGAAGCTATTCGAACCGCAACTCATCAGAATAATAACATCGTGAATAATTCGAATTTTATAGAGAATCAGAATCCGAATATTGTTACGCATCTAAATGTCACTTGTGATGGATGTTTCATATCACCGATAAGAGGCGATCGTTATAAATGTTTATTTTGTTCAAATATCGATTTTTGTCAATTATGTAAATATGAGAGCAAAGTTAACCATCCATCAAATCACCTATATAATCATCCATTATTGTGTATCAAAGATTCAAGAGACTATCCACAATCAATGTACATGCAGAATCGTAGTCAAATACATCATACTCAAAGTAAATGTAATTCGTGTTTGAGATATCCGATCATTGGTATTCGTTATGAATGCGCGTGTGGAATAACTCTATGTGAAAAATGTGAATTTATTGGTATACATGATCATAGTCATCGGCGAATGAAAATAGCTTTTCCATAATTACTCAATTAACAGATACTTTAACTTTTGTTTTACGAAGAAATTCATTTTATTCGTGTTTTCGTGCATTTGAATAAACATGATTATCAATAAAAGATTTTACAAGCACAATAGCAGAAAAATGATAGAAAGGGTTTGAAATCCATCTTGAGAATAACAGTTTAATGAGTGTTTTCGTTTTATTAGCTAAAAAAGGATATTGTAAAAAAATATCGATAATAATATGATTATAGAAAAAAGAAGCATTCGTATTTTTATTATGAAAAATGTGAGGGATGTGGTAAATATCTAGTGAAAATTGAAGAATCACTTTTTTCGTCTTGATCATCGATGTTATGCGATGTTGATACTATTGTTTTCTCTTGTTGATGCTGTGGTTGTTGATAATGGACGTCACCTGTGGACAAAGGAATTACAAAAAAAAGACTGTTCATTGATCAACTAATATGGAATACTAACCTAACGCACCGGGATCAACTGTCCGTTTAATACGCTTAATCAATAAATCACATTTGGCATCTAAATTTTCTGGTGTTTTATTTGTTAGTAAATCACGAAAATCAATATACATTATATCAATAATAGCATAGCCAAGCCATTCAGTTGGTTTCCAAGTAGGATCAAAATCCATCAAACATGGTATTAATTTCTTTTGACAATCTTGAGCGTAGAGTAATTCTTTTTTACAATACGGTGAACTTTGATATTTTGATGTAATAAAACAACAAACAGCAGCTGAATTTTCAATAGCTTGAGACATACTCTCTGTTAGATAATCTTTCATACCACCTTGTATATCCATCCACACCGGAATGTTATGCGCTTGAAGACGATGATAAATCTCAAGCACATCTTTTTGAATATCCCAACCGTAGGAAAACATAATATGTTGTCCTGGTTTTAATGCTGGTGTTGCCATCGCAATTGAAACAGATGATCTAAAAATATTATTGTCCTTGATGCATGTATGTGCGTCAAAATGAAGCAAAATATTTTGTTGTTGTGCATTATTTACGAAAACATTAATCCACATGGTTGAATTATGAATATTATAAGGAGAACGAAAAGAAAAATAACGATTAATATAACCATTTTATTTGCTCAGTACAATTCGATTCGTAAGAAGAAAATGACTCATATACGTTGCAGTGTTATGCTATCAAAAAAATGGTACTGTATATGAAACAAAAGAAAGTTTGTCTCACAAAAAAATTATTGTTCAGTGCTTTCTACGCATTCATCATCGGTTTACGAAACTACACCCTCAATTCATTGATGTAATAATTTCTTATTTTTTGGTAAATTTAATATTTCTTTAAAATGTTGTCCATGAAAATTTCTTCTCTGTGTATCAGATCCCATCTTACTTAAAAATTCAATAATTCGATATCGACAACCACGAACATTAAGAGAAATATAAAGTAAAAGATCATTTCCATCCTCATCTAATTGATGAATAAGAGATGGAAATTTTCTTACTATTTTTTCTAAAACTTTTCGTTATTTTCGATCTATTAAAATAAATCCAATGCTTTATCATTGACACTATCATTTCTAATTGAATATTATTCATATGGTGTATACATTGTCGAATAACATTCGATTCATTAAATATTTTTTTAAATCCAATATAATGACGATGATGATAAATACTTTTAATAAATAAACTAAACAACGATATAAATAATCCACATTTTTATACCCTTGCTGTTTCAGAGAATGTAAATTAAAGAGAAATAAATCAATTGTAATTCGATAACATTTCATATTGATAAATTTTGAAGAATTTCTCTAATGATAATATTCTAAAGAATAAAGATTATGTAGAAGAAAATATTCTGATCTGAATCCAGCATTGCCAACATCATGTAGATCTGTTGATAGAAACGGATTTGAAATAAGTAGAATTTTGAATAATTGTAAACATGAATTACATTTAAATTGAATATCGTTAATATGAGAAAGAAGTAATTGATTAACAGCTTTAGTAAAATTAAATCTAGCAAATGGATCTTGACGAGCACCTTTTGTTAAAATTAATGATTCGATATGTTTATTACATTTCATAGTCAACGGATTTTTGTATAAACAATAAAATTGTATTTTTAATTCATCATCTAACTGAATTATTTCATTCTTAGTCAATTTTTGACTGAATTGAATATATTTTTGTTGTAGATGAAAACAAATTAATGGTTGTAAAAGTTTAGAAAGTTGAATTTTATCGATTGGCGTATTTATAGATAAAAATTGTTTGGATACTTGTTGAAATATATTAGCATTAAAAAAATCAGTTAATAAATGCAAACTTTTATTTATAAGAATTTGATTTAATCGTTGATTTAAACCAATATATGTATGTAATATTGTAAATATATCACCTGAGTATTTGAAAATAACTATTAAAATTTCAGTAGGTAAGTCTTCAAACGTAGACAACATTTTTCATGTGCTTTTTTTTTCATAATAAAACATGTAATTACACAATCAAACTTTTATATGTGTTTTCGAATGTATCGAAAAAGTGCATGAGTTATGAAAGAACCAATAGAGGGTGTGAATGTGAATTTTTTTCAATCATGACATGCACATTTCACCCAGGAAGATTATATTTTGTAGTTTATTTTTAAGAATTACTATAAATAAAATGTTATATATGAGAAGAGATTTCTTGAAAAAAATGTATTTTATTAGTAGAGAAAGAGATATACTAGACAACTATTTATATTTGACGGCAAAAAAAGAAGAAAAAAATAAAAAATAATCGTTCATGACCATATTACTTTAGATAAAAGTTGTGCAATAACGTAAATTGCATGTCGGCGGCGCAGCCAATGCGAAAACATAGAATCCACTGCAATTGGTAACTGAAATTGTATTGGAATAAGCGCACTTGTTTGAGCCCGAATTATAGCAAATAGTCGCAGGAACAGTTGATCCAACTACTGATGGGTATTCTGTTGATATCCAACCTGTACCTGCTGTATTACAATGATTTGTAGCTGGTGGCGATGTTGGAAGTATTGTACCAGCTGGACTTTGAAAACGAACCCACGTAGGAGACATTTTGAAAAAAAGGTTTTATCACATATTGTACCACTGGGTGTTGCAATATTTCTTGTGGTATCATTGTTGACTGTATACGATGTACATTGTGGTGGTAAAAGTGTAGCTACAACTTTTTGTACATTAACTTGAGCATCTGTAGAAAATAAAAATATAGTCTAATCAAGCATGTATGAGTATCGACAGTGTTCAGAAGGAAATATACTGTCATTATCGATTATATAAAATAAAATCCAAAGAAAACTATCTGGCGTAATTCTTTGTCAAACGTCTTTCTTGAGGGTGGGTGTTTTCTTCCCGTTCATTACCCACACTCTAAAAGACAATTCTTATCATCACTAATAATAAATTCTCATTGAGACTAAATTTTTACTATGCTTAAGGACATTCGGTCAATTCATCAGAAGCTTTATCCAATAAACAAAGATAACATATTTTGATTGACTGTATTTATTTTTCCTGTCATCATGTTTCAGCTTAGTGAATGGTTATTCATGGAGTTTCAGTTGCAAAAAATATTGTGAAATATAACACATCATCAAACAAAAGAGCTAGAGTTGATTTTGTGAAATATTGCTTTTTCTATTTATCTATGTAAATTAATCTTTGTTCCTTCTTATCAATCTGTGCTGAGGATCAGATTATCAGTCACAAATTTCTTTTTATTAAAAACAATCTCAAAATATTTGCTTTTGTTTTAATAAAAAGAAACCAAGTTTGACATGTAACATGATTTCATATAACGATCATATATGAGTCTGTCTGTTTTAGTTGGTATGGTATTATAATATTCACCATTCGTCCTTGTAGTATTAATACCATCGTGTAATATGGTTTAATTATATAGTAACTATATTTTTTGAAGAATTATTGAAAATACGAGAAATATGTATTTTATATTTTTCTTACACAGGATACGATTCTTTGATTTCTTTTTTTCTAGATAGATAAATAGATGATAATGTCGACGACTGTGATCATTATTTTTGTATTAATCGTTACAGTTATATCTGGTCGAATTCTACTTTATGATACTGAAAATGGTCAAGCAAATGAAAAATTCGATTGTGTTTATCATGTATATGATAATGGTGAAGAAATTCCATATTGCCAACGTCTTGCTGGAGACGAAATACTCAATCGAGATGAGAGAGTATGCGAGAATCAAGGTCAATTTTTTTCATTTCGTGATTTAATCATTCAAAATATTCTGCCAAGTGATGTTTTCGACTGGAATTCAAGTATTGAAATGGCTGATTTGTATGCACAGTTCTACTACAATCAGTCGTCATTCAAAGACGGTGATGATCAATTTTTATGCAAATGTACACAACCTGGAACGTTTGGCAAATATTGTGAATATCAATTGACACATTATGCAGAATCATTCAGCGATGCTATTAAAGCTCAATTTGAACAAAAGCGAGATGGTGATTCATGGAATACTCAAAAGTATGGAAAGATTCTTTGTTATAAGACATTAATATGCGATCATGGTCCATTGTGTCTTGATTGGCGAGATATAAATGATGGTACACAACAATGTTCCTATGGTTATGATGAAGAAAATTGGGATAAGTTGGAGTTTAACGAATGCGAAGATGATGAGTTTCGATGCACAAATGGTATGTGTATTCCACAAGAGTTCTGGCTTGATGGTAAGTGTCTGAGAAGTTTCTCGAGACTTTCATTTTATGATATGAATCGTATTTACAGGTCATGTCGATTGTATGGATTGGAGTGACGAACTTGATCAAAGTTCGAAAGAATCATGTTCTTTTACACCAAATGCAATGGAATGTGATGAGCATATATGTCCTCGTCATAGTTACTCGTGTGGAGATGGGCAATGTGTCGATTGGATAACTCGAATGGCATTCCAACAAATCTTCCCAGCAAAGAACGATTGTTTCAACAAGCGTAATCTAAATTACATGTGTGAAGTAAGTCCACATCGACGTGCTTGGACACTTGAAAATGGATTATGTTCGCCCGATGAAGGCTATGATGATCCTCGATATCCTCCATCAAATATGATCAATGGATCTACATTGGCACACGTAGACAAGTGTCAGTATCTATTACGCTGTGCTTTGTCCGATGGTTTCGAACATGATTGTCCTTGCAATCTTCTTAACTGTACACAAATGATGAGCAGTGTATGTCCAAACAACACTTTTCTTTTCTACCCACCGCCAGGATTGATCAATCCAAATATCTTGTTTTATTATAACTATAATCGATCTGGAGAAAATGTTGCAGTCGGTGGTTTTATGTTTCAAGGAAGTCAACGATGTCGCGGATATCAGTTCACGCTTGATAAACCTACATTATTATCCTTCTCGTTATCCAATGAAATAGTGTATTTTCACACTAATAACATATTTTGCTCTTTGAATGAATCTTCATTAGGATATCAGGATTATTTATCACCTTTTCAATACGATAAGTTTTGTTACAATGATTCTTTAACGTTCAACGGCCGTCCATACGCTGTCAATCCTGATATATGTAATCGTACAGGAGAATGCATATCACAATATCGAATACATGATGGATTTCAGGACTGTCTAACTGAAGATGATGAATACAGTGATTTTGACAAAAATTATTGTACGGGGAACGTCGAAAAGCATCGTTTTCAGTGTTTCAATGATCAGCACAAATGTCTCACGCTATCCCACTTAGGTACAGGAATAAGTGAATGTTCGAACCACTATGACGAAATATGGTATGGAAGCGGCGCATTCCTTAAAGAGAGTATTGTATGTTATAAGAACGATACTGTTGATTGTGATCGTTTGAAAGAATACATTAGTCAGTCATCGATCAAGAATACAAATTCATTCGCCCATTCATTAGAACAAACGTCAATCACTCAGATGCCTTTTCGATCGTATTGTGATAGTTTCTGGGATTTACATAATCACACTGATGAATCACCGCTTTCGTGTCAAATGTGGGTATGCCAAGATCATCAATATCAATGTCGAACAGGACAATGTATAGAACTCGATTGGGTATGTGATGGAGAATGGGATTGTTCAGATGCATCCGATGAAGAAGCTATAGTTCTTATAACACACTGGTCTGATCACAATATTAATCTCGTTGGCTTACATTCTCGACTTGAGAGATGCTACCAACGATATTCCAGATCACCTTTTTCGACTGTCTGTAATCTATCTGCTGAATTCGGATGCTATCTATCCAACGTATTAAATCCTTTGGATATGACAATGACTCGTCCATGTATTAATCTCACGCAAATCGGTGACGGCATCGAAGACTGCTACAATGCTTATGATGAAAAAAATACATTCGAAATAAATTCAGATATTGGTAACATGTTTGGTTTTCATTTACGTTGTGGAAATCATTACGAGCCATACTCATCTGCTTGCTTACCAGAAGCAAAGAATAACTGCAGTAAAATTCTCTGTTCGAATCATCGAAGTAAAACTGATTTATGTTCTGGTATACATGATGTCATGTGTCTCGACGGGCGTTGCGTGAAAAATGGGCGATGCAACGGACAATCTGATTGTTTTCATGGAGAAGATGAGTATTGGTGTGCACCTAGCACTCTCGCAAATCAATTAGTATATCGTTACAATAAAAAGACGGCTACCAGATCGAATGCTTACTCCGTTCTAGAATTTCCAAATCAAAAGCAATTATCAAAGCATATCACCAATCCACGCACTGATTATTTTTCAATTATGCATTCATATCAATGTAATCGGGGTGTAGCTATTCTAAATAGAAATGAAACTATCTGTCTTTGCCCGCCCGCTTACTATGGTCGTTGGTGTGAATTTTTTAGTGATAGAATTAGTGTTATTACACATATTGATCAGAAAACATTGTTAAATAATACACTCAAAATTAAGGCAACACTTATTTTTGAAGACCACATTATCGATGATCATGATTTTACTATTATTCAGACAGTTGAAAATTTGAAACAAATCAAACATAAATTTTATCTTGTCTATTCGCGATCTGCTCAAATGCTTACACACAAACGAGTGCGCTATTTCAATCGAACTGATGTGATCAATCATCATCCATATTCTGTTCACTTTGATGTATTCTCTCTTGAAAAAGACAATAGTGTGAAAGAACTAGGCTCTTGGCATTATCCAGTCTATTTTGATTATTTACCAGCGTATCGTCTGGCAGTTGTATTAAAATTCCCGACTTGGTTTTTGAATAATACAACTAATCCCTGTTCACAACATAATTGCAATATAAACTCCACATGTATGCCACTTTTTAATCAAAATGATGCTTATTATTGCTCATGCAAAAGTGGATATTATGGAAAATATTGTGAGTTATACTTACCTCGTTGTGAAACATACTGCTCGGTTAATGCTCTTTGTCGAAAGAATTCTAATAAGCTGGAACCTGATTGTATTTGTCCACTAAATCGTTTCGGTCCAAGATGCAATTTAAAACATGATGACTGTGACTCGAATCCGTGTTTGAACAATGGAACTTGTTTTTCAACTGATGATCAGAGTGGTGAAGCATCCTATATGTGTCACTGTTCAAAGCGATTCTACGGAAATCGATGTCAGTATGAGATGGGATCTGTTCATGTTGATTTAAACATGACACATTTATCATCGATTGGTGCAACTGTTGTTCAACTTTACGATATTCAAACACCTTCTTTTCAACTTCTTATCCAACATCAGCAAGTGTCCTATACCATACCATCAAAGATTAACTACTACCATTCAGCTGCCTATGCGCCTTCACTTGGTCTTTTAAAAATTTATGAAAATTTAACATATCCAGAATATTTCATCATATATAGTTTAACTCAAAAATCGGTTATTAATATTACTTCGACTCCAGAGCATTGCCCACATGTGTCATTATTACTAATTAAAAGTGAGTTTTAATTGCATATAAATGTTCACTTAATATGTTTTTTTAAAATACTTTTAGATGACAATATGTTTGTTCAATCTGTATTTTCATATCATCTCATCTGTCGAAGTAATACTCAGTTGTTATGCTTTTATGATGAAAACTATTTGTGTTTATGTCAATCGGACCATTATCGTGCTGAATGTTTTGGTCACAATACTCAACTTGATCGTTGTAACTACTGCCTATCCGGTGGAAAATGTATGCAAGGAGATTTGAAAGATCCGAACGATTTCATTTGTATTTGTCCTCCTTCTTATTACGGACATCGCTGTGAATTCAACTCAGAATTTATCAACACCACTACTAGTGGATTATTTCTTAGTAGCACTTCGAAAGCAGTAGCGATTGGATATACTTCTATAATCTTTCTACTTTTTATCTTTGGTTTCCTACATAATTTTTACCTTGTTACTCATATTTAGACGGTCGATATCTCGAAACTTTGTCATCGCATCTATCTTTTAGTGTCGTAAATATTAATCAAGCTGTTTTTTTTCCTATTTGCTTTTCAAATTTATTCTTATTACTCTAGGTTTTTTATTTACTTTCTGTATTTACAGAAGTTAAAAAACATATTGAATAATTAGAAATTATTGTGCTTAATAAATAAATACAGTGGTTGTCAAAATTATAGATCCTCTATATTTTACTCGTGAAAGGATGGGTGTGGGTGTCTGTTCTTCTTCTCTAAGACCCACACCTACACCCTAACTTCATGCTTTCCCTCTGAAAAATCTACCGTATCGCGACGAACAATTCTGCTCTGTCTACATCTAACGAGTTTTTATCCAAAACTATATATTGAAATATTCAAAGAAGGAATCTTTTCTCATAGACACTTATTCCGCATAAAGAAATAAAGAACGTGATTAAAAGTGAATCCTGACAAAATAGATTATTTAACAGATTTAAATAAAAAAAGACATCAAACTAATCATGACTTATTTATTGACGATGATAGTTGATATCTTATTTTTAGTTAAAACACGTTTGATAATCAAGGCAGATTTTGATCAATTCTCTTTTCTCTTTATCACGTTCTTCTTCACTAAAATCAAAGATTTTTCAATCACATAAAAAAAGAAAACAATTATCTGGAATTTAAATTTTATTTTATACTTTCGAAGAGAATGGAATTTATCTTAAAATGTCCAATCATATGACCAGTTTTTCCTGTTTCTCAAATCTAAAATCAATTCTTTGTCTTCTCTACGACTAAACCTTCTTCGGAACACTATTTTTTCTCTTTCTGTTATGTTGGAAGAAATGCATGAGAGAAAAAGAGAGAGATATAATTGGAGAGAAAACCACAGTGCATGTTATTTTGTTTTCTTCGAAGGCAAAGAAGAAGAAAAAAGATTATTTCATTAGTTGAATAATTTATCAAAGAACAAATCTCATTGAATTATGTGGAATATTTACGTACTGATTATTATTCTTTTGCTCATTCTTAACAATGAAACATCAGGTAAATATTATTATTTATCACATATTGAAGATCAGTCATCGCATCAATGACATTATTCATTGAATTTGTAATTGAACAAAAGAGAGTCAAATCATAGATTATAGAACTTGTTTAGTGGGATCTTTCTCATTTATTCAAAGATGATGGTTCCGATCCAAGGGAGAAATAGAAGAATCCATGAATTCAAGAGACTGAATTCTGTTGTTTCCCCCTTGTATTTTTGTCACTAGAATATGATAAAAGAATATTCTTAAATAAGACAACATTTGAATTAAAAATAAAATACATATAAATGTTTTTTGTCTCTAAAGAGATTGATGATGATTGAACTTTTTTCAAAATATTCAAATTGAAATAATGGGACGAAAAGTAACGAAGAGAAAAAACTTTATTAAACTTAATTTTGATTTGAAAAAAGTCGAAGTAAATGGATTTCTGCGATAAAAATCTTCTTTGGTTCTTTGAAGAATTTGATAAAAGTGCAAAACTTTAGATCAATTTCGGATTTGTTTCTTTTTTACAAAAGATTTTTTTCAAATAATTTCTTAGGACAATTTTTTAGATAAAGATTAACAAGAGATTTTTCTTCTCACTTCACATTTAAAATTCAATCGCGATGATTTGAAATCAACATATTCACAGTCTCTTCAATATTAATAAGAAAATGTATTGAGTATCAAAGATATTTTGTTCAGACTTCAAACAAATCTTTTTCTTTCCCGTCAGATTCATTTCTGTTTGAAAAATTAAAAGAAAATCATTTAATTATTGTTCTATCTCCAGTGAAAATCAGATTTTTTCAAAAATTGATCATATTGTTTTTTCTTTCCCATTAAAAAATTCCATAAAGGGCGTTGATCTTCTTCGATAAAATTCATTCTCCTCGCAGTTGTTGTTCACATTTCATCGGAGAAAATACGACAACTATACAAATGCTTTTAAAATTGATCTCAATGAATTTTTCAAAAACATAATATAAATTAACAAATTAATTTCTTCATACTTTTTCTCTTTGCTTGTTTTTAGCTGTTTCACTCAATCAACCAAAGTTTTCTCCAACATCCACCTGGAATTCTAATGGAATTACTTTTGTTAATCAGTCAATCGTTGGTCGAGCTTCTCGCGCTATTTTTGTGAACACAAACAATACAATCTATGTCACTAATAGAGAAAGTAGCACAATTCTGATGTGGCATGAAGAGATTGTCAATCCAACAAAGATCATTCAAGGTAATTTTACGGAACCCTCGTCTCTCTTCGTGACATCAAATGGTGATATTTACATTGATGATGGTGATAAGAATGGTCGGGTACAGAAATGGATGGTAGAAACAAGTACTTTTATCACGGTGATGAAAGTCAACTCATCATGTTATGGTTTGTTTGTCGATATCAATGATACTCTTTACTGTTCAATGTTTGAGTATCATCAAGTAGTGAAAAGATCATTAATTGATGCTGTGATGCCGTCATATCCTGTTGCTGCTGGAACAGGTATTCGAGGATCAGCCTCGAATCAATTCAGTGGCCCTTTTGGAATCTGTGTTGATGTGAATTTGGATTTATATGTGGCAGATTGTGGAAATAATCGAGTTCAGTTGTTTCAGTCAGGAGAATCAAATGGTATCACAGTAGCAGGAAATGCATCACGAAATCCAACAACTACACTCCGTTGCCCAAGTGGAGTTGTCTTAGATGCCGAGAAGTACTTATACATTGTGGATCAATTCAATAGTCGTATTATTGGTTCAAGCTTTTATGGTTTTCGATGTTTAGTTGGGTGTTATGAAGCGGGCTCACAATCCAATCAATTGCGTAATCCATTTAGTTTTAGTTTCGATCATTCTGGAAACATATTTGTTACTGACCATCGGAATGATCGAATTCAAAAATTTTTATTGATGAAAGATTCTATTGGTAAGTTGAACAAATGCTGAATAAGATGAAGAGATGTGAATAGATCGATAAAAGAAGTTAATAAAGACATTTCAATATAAAAATAAAGGAAAACAAAAATAGTTGAGAAAGGTTAATTAAACCAATCTGTAAAAGACTGTATCTAAGGAAATGAAATGTTCAGATTAGACAGAGCCATGCGTCAATCATCTAAGGGAAACAATCTTCGCTTTTTTGTTGAGGGTGGATGTGGATGTAACTTAAGATAACAGACGCGCACCCACACATTCATATTCAAACCCACATACTTTGTTTATATTTTTAAACTTCAATGAGAAAATTTTTTTCGATTTATAAGAGATGTATTAATTGTAAAAATATTTATTTTATTTTCTCTTGAAGATATGTAGTTAATAAATGTGTTTTTTAAGGAGAATTATCCATGCTTTCCATATGAAAATAAAGAATCTCTTGTTTTGTTTATTATTTCATAGTAGGAACATTGAAATTTTTGAAATACTCTTAAAACTTTAAACAAAGATTTGTTTTCTTTTGATTAAACAAAGATGATATGTTGTGATTCATGATGAGTCTTTGAAGTTTCTTGAGATAAAAAACACTTTGAGCAAGAATTTTTATGAGGAATGTCTGTAGAGAGGAAAAGATACTTTTTAAGAAACATAAAAAATTGGATTTCATGTTTTATTTTTCATTCAGTGTCAAAATAACTTGGGGTGATACTATTTTTTATTTCTAAATGAAGTTTAATAAGATAAGATAAGTTATGTTCATAACAACTGAGATAAGATAGAAATAATATTTATCTTCTTTCTCCAATTTCTTTTCTAAATTGACTTTAAACTTCGATCAAAATTAATAAAATGATTGTTAAAATCAATCTTGACAAACATTTCTAAATGTCTTTTTTATCCAAAACTTCTTTGAAAAACCTTTGTATTACTTTTATGAATATAGAAATTAACAGCTTCATTTTCTTTACAATTCTTTCTATTTTTCCCGTTCTTAGCTGTCTCATTCAATAAACCAAAGTTTTGCCCAACAGCCAAATGGAATCCCAATGGAATTACTTTTGCTGATCGATCGGTTATTGGCGAAGATCCTCGCGCCATTTTTGTGAGCACAAACAATACAATCTATGTCACTAATCAAAAAGACACAACAGTTCTAATATGGTATGAAGAGAGTGCCAATCCATCAAAGATCATTTCGGGTAATTTTATAGAATCCTTGTCTATCTTCGTGACATCAAATGGCGATATTTATATTGATGATGGTGATAAGAATGGTCGAGTACAGAAATGGAGTGCAGAAACAAATAACTTTATCATAGTGATGCATGTCAACGCATCATGTTGGGGTTTGTTTGTCGATATCAATGATACTCTTTATTGTTCTATGAGTTTCCATAATCAAGTACTGAAAAGATCGTTGAATGATCCCATGATGACTTTAAATCGTGTTGCTGTTGGAACAGGTATTCGAGGATCAGCCTCGAATCAACTCTCACATCCTTTTGGAATCTTTGTCGATGTGAATTTGGATTTATATGTGTCAGATTGTCTAAATGATCGAGTTCAGTTGTTTCAGCTGGAAGAATTAAATGGAATCACAGTGGCTGGAATTACATCACGAAATCCAACAATTGCACTTCGCTCTCCAACTGGAATTATATTAGATGCTGACAAGTCCTTATTCATTGTGGATTCTTACAATCATCGTATTGTTGGCTCGAGCGTGAATGGTTTTCGGTGTTTAGTTGGATGTGATGGAGTGGGTTCACAATCCAATCAATTGTATCGTCCATGTGGTTTGAGTTTTGATCGTTCTGGAAATATGTTTGTTATTGATTCAGTAAATGATCGAATTCAAAAATTTGAATATTTCGAAGAATCATGTGGTATGTTAAAATTGATTGAATAAAATCTTCAATATTATTTCAATCAATATTTATTCAAAGAAAATTAAAAAGAAAAACTATCATAGAAAATGAGGATGAAAATGAAGCTTCTGAGGGACTTTGAACAGAATAATTGAATAGTTAAATTCAAATTTTAAGTTTCATCCTAATATACTATTGTTATAAAACAAAAACCTTGCTTATTCATAATTCTTTACAAAAGTCAATCGATAGAATTATTGTCATGTTAATTGCATGATACGGATGGAAGTTAGAATGTCTAATGTATTTAGTAGGAAACTCAGAGATGAATTCAGTCTTTTTTGTTGAACTTTCTTTATCAATTTTCTTTGATTCGCCATTATCTGCGCTCGCTTACCGCTGCTGACTGTAGGAAATAATGAACACAATGATTCTATAAAACATAAAACACTCATGAGAAGTAAAATTTCCATTGAAATTTATCAAATCTTTATCAAACTAAAAGCATTTTGAAGTAGATATCGATACAGAGAAAATTTTCTTGTGTCGAATTCTCAATTTCAGAACATCAGAAAAGTTTCATAAATCATTTCCAAATCAACAGAAAATATTTTAGCATAGTTGTTAAATGTTCTTTCAAATTTGTAGGTACGAGACATATGTCACAGAGAAATAATCCTGTCATCGAGTGTTAACCATAACTCATGGCACGGTCATAAAGATTCAGGATGTTATATTTTCACTCATGATTTTGGTTATCACAGGAGTGAGATTTGAATTGAGTTCAGTGTCTACACCGAAAGTTGTCGATGGTAAGAAGGAGGAAAAAGTTTCGCCCTTGCCTACTTGCTCAAGATACGCTTTGTTAAAATAACAAATAACTAAAGAATCGTCCCTGTAATACTTTAATAGTTAATCGACTGTCAGGATATTTTGATTTGTTAAGATTGGATGCGTCACTCCCAATACGCACTTTCGTGATTATATCATGCCATACTCATAGATCTGTCAAATAGTTTGTTGTTATTCTTAGTAATATTGATGAAAAAAAACCTAATGTTGTGCATAATATTTTTAAGAAAAGAAAAATTTGAAAATAAAGATGATAATGAAGAAGTCATATTTGGAAGTCTATCATCTACCAGATTCTTGAGTCCAGAATGATACTCGTTTTTACATATGAAGTTTTGAAAGATTTCTTTATTCTAAATACGAATATTCAATGATTTATTTTTCATTCAATAGGTAATTCATCAGTTATAAAATCAGTGTATTCATTAGCACTAACATCAAACAGTTCATCTTATTTCGAAGATTGTTCAAAGTTACATTTATATTATGAAACGAGAGAGATAAACATCACTATAAGTGGCCATTATACTTTTCTAATCAATATCGAGATTAAAGCCACGTATGGTTACATATATACAAATAGGTTCAATGCATTTAATTGGATAGAAAATAGGCTTACCCATGGCCAAGACAATCATAATACAGGCCAATTTCAACTCAAAGCTTTTCTTCAAGCAAACATAAAATATATTTTTGTTATGACAACATCGTCTCCAAATGTAACAGGAAATGTTTCCATTCAAGTATTTGGCCTAAACTATATCGGTTTCAATCGTATTTGTGAGTATTTTTAGTATTTTAATGGATGCACAGCTACACGTATTCGTTATCTATAGAAAGTCGATAAACTCAATCTAAAAAATGATTTTGAGATGTTTCTGTTCAATTGAGAATAAGATTCGTATCCACAGTTTTCTGAGGATATGATTTTCATATTATCAATATTCTATACAGAATGTAACAAAACTAATATGTTTTCTCTATCACTTGGGATATGAATGATAGGGCAAAATATTTTCTACCATCTTGAAAGTGAGAGTATACTGACATTCATTTATATCAACATTCATATTACTTTCATTCATATTCAGTACGTGCATCGGAGAGAGAAAATAAAATTTCAAATTGTTTACACTTATTTTCATATAATACAAAACTGAATCGATTTTCTTTTTCGTTAGTAAATACTTCATCTGTTGTCCAAACAACTTATGCATCAGAATTGACAACGAGTAGTTCAATATATTTTCGTACTTGTTCCTCGTTAAGTTTCTACTATGAAGCGATACAAGTGAATGTCATCACAAGTAGTTTTTACACTTTCTACAGCAAAAACGATATGGCTACATACGGTTTTATTTACAAAGAATATTTCAATCCATTCAATCCAAAAGAAAATCGACTACCATACAATGATGGCAGCTGCTATGAAAATGATTTTAGATTCACCGTTACTCTTGAGACTAGTATTACATATATATTGGTTGTGACAACAGTTCTCTCAAATGAGACAGGTGCATTCTCGATCTTTGTATCTGGTCCAAACAATGTTCATTTCAAGAATATGAGTAAGTACTTCCACTACATCTGTTGGTTGGATACCTGTCAACTTTAATATGAGAATTTAGTTGAGTTTAGTATATTCAAAAATACAGAGTTGTTTTGTAAGATGACATTTTACTAGAAAATTTTTTTTTATACAAACAGCTATATTAAAGCCATCAGATGATGAAACATTATGAACAGGATGAGGAGAATCTTCTGGAATATGAATTCGTTTTTATCGATTCCTAATCTGATGAGAATAATATACAAATCAATAGGAATCCCTGCTTGTGACTATGAAACGAAAAACATTTTGCTAATTATTACAGCCTACCCTATCACTTAGTGTTCCTACAATAAAAAACTACTGCAAACATTTAAATACAACTTGTCATAGATGAAAAATATAGATATATTCTTACTTTGTATGAATCTAAAAAATATATTCGCGTACTTTAACTTCTGAATTAATTACGCTAGGAGGAGAATTAGACTATAAATAAACAATTATTTCTACCTAAAACGTTGGGATATTATCCATTTTCGAAATAAAGAAGCTATTTCAAACTCATTCGTGACACACATTTTCGAGAACTCGAGTACGGAAAAATGTTTATAGATTCTATTTTCACTCTCCATGCTCATCATAGTCATTTCATTGAAAACGAGATTATAGAGAGTCGTTTCTTCAGAAATCTTCGCTCAGTTTTGACATACTCTTCAATATTCAGGGTATATGAGAGACGACTTATGATGCTTAAATTTCTTTCGTACATCCAGATTATTCGTTTGTCTCTCAATCAATTGAGATATATAACGAACGTTGACTGTTATTTTTGTTTTTATCACGTAGGTTCGCCATCAGCCACGCAAATACCACATTCGTCAGTTTTACAATTAAACTATTTATCAGAGCTCACTAAGAATAGTCAAACATATTCTCGAGATTGTCGAAAATCAAATTATTACTATCAAACTATACGAATGAATGTGATGGAAACTGGATACCATGAATTGAGTAGTTCTAGCAAGATAAATACATTGGGTAATATTTACAAAGATAATTTCAATCCAATGAATCCTTTCGAGAATCTACTCTCACAAGTTTATCGAACATGTACTTGGGTCGATTTCAGTCTTATCGCTTATCTTCACACTGGTACTACATACATATTAGTTATGACAACATCTTCTCCAAAAATGACAGGAGACTTTTACATTGAGTTATCTGGTCCAAATAACATCACTATTAATCATTACAGTAAGTATTTTGTATTATTTATTAATCATTAACAGAGAAATACGACATTCCACTGAACTTCATTTTCACTCTTCAGTAATAAAAGATCTGAGAATTTCGAATATATTATATAATTCAATATAATTATTATCAAAAAATAGGATCACATCGGAACTCCTTCTTTGAAAAATGGGCAGTATTCTTCCAATTAGATAAGATTAAGTCTTCATATTATAACTTAGTCGTAATTAGATGTATTGTACGAGTTCAATCAAATGGATAAACAAATGCAGTTTTTCTTCTAGAATCAATGATATATCCTAGAAGAACTATTCTTTAGTGATTTCACACGATCTGAGATCTTATTACTTATATTCTTTGAGAATCTATCGACTTCATATGCAAACATACCTTTATAAAAATGAGTAAATTCATTATGAAACACTGAACAGAAAATAGGTATATAAAAATCTCATCTCGACACGACATACCATGTATAGATAAATGACCTTCATAAACTATTACTAATAAATTTGCCCCAACATGACTTTGTTAAGTTGAGAAAAATGATCTCATCACTGGGTGAACATGAATTTTTTTGTTCAGCTCAAGTTCTGACTAGTTGTTTTATTGGCCAAAAATGTCAGTTCTACAAAAAAAATATTGGTGTCACTCTCGATGATATTTTACGTGACGAAATTCGAACAAATATGACATTGACTGATCAAACAGTATTGGTGAAAATCAATGCTGCTCTAACAATGATTATGTTTATTGGAGGTTCAATTAACAGTATTTTATCTCTAATAACATTTCATAACAAAGATTTACGACAAACTGGATGTGGCATATATCTCTTGACATCGTCAATTACATCTTTTCTTACAATCAGCATGTTTACAGTGAAGTTTTGGTTTGTTGTTCTCACTCAAATGAATCTGTCGATTCCAGTTTCTGTTGTTCGAGGTGGTTGTGTATCGATCGAACCTCTTCTCAAGCTTTGTCTATATTTGGATGCTTGGCTCAATGCTTGTGTAGCCATTGAAAGAGCGATTCTCGTTTTCAAAGGAATCAAATTCAATAAACAGAAAAGTCAACGCATTGCTCGATGGATAATTTTCATCTTACCATTCTGTATCATGGGTTCGATCATTCACGAACCTATACATCGAGAACTACATGAGGTAAATACAGAGACGAGCAAAATGGATATCAATAGATGGTGTTTAACTCGTTATTCTCCTTCTGTTCAACAATACAATACCATCATCCTATTTTTTCATCTTGTCGCTCCATGTATTATCAACCTTTGTTCTGCCTTATTCATTATATTCGGATCCGCCCGCCAACGATCAACAGCTCAGACAAGACAAACTCTAAGAGAACATATTTATGATCAATTTCGTGAACACAAACACCTATTAATTAGTCCAATTATTCTTCTAACTCTGTCTTTACCCCGTCTGATAATGTCAATGTTATCAGAATGTGTCAATCCATCTAATCATCGATTATTATTTATTTTTGGTTATTTCATTTCATTTACTCCATCAATGCTTATCTTTATTGTTTTTGTCCTTCCTTCAGAGTTGTACAGAAAAACATTTCAAGAATCGTTCAGACGATGGCGACGACTCATCCGTCAATAACCCATGCTTCTTCATTATTTCAGAACTTTCCTAATTTATTCGTATAGTATTCGCGTCTTTTGCATAGACTACTGGATAATGAAAGACGAATTTGATGAATTTATGGTACGATATTATTTCTAACCTATTGAAAAATGATGAAATCTCACAAGTTTCGAAAGTTTTGTTTCGGAAAAAAGTTCTCATACCATAATTTCTCAGCTTGTTATGTAATAAAATTTTATGTTAGTGTAGCTCTCATCCCTAAAAATATTATTCATAAACTGAAAATGATTAGACAAAATGTCGGACTAACAATAAAATAGAATTGAAACCTGCTTAACATTAAAAAATTAATGTTCGAGATAGTTTTCAAAAAAGATCATTTTAAAAGACTGATGTGACTTAATATCTTAACACTTTCATCGATTATTGTTAACCAAATGAATAAGATTATATTTAATGAATTAATTAGATCTTTTTTGGAGAACATCAAACGGTGTATCTTTTCCGAATAGTGATAGATATCAAATACGAATAGTATCATACTTCATTAGCTCTGTCGCTCATTCGTAGCAAAGAATGAAATTCGACCAAAAAATGTTACTTAGATCATTTGGAACAATCAAATGCTGACTAGCAAGATCTGTTCTATTACGGCCATTCTATCGTAAAGATCCATCTGTGGAACATCAAAAAGTGCTTCACTTTGCTTCGTCATCAGTAAAATGGATAAATAGCTAAACAAACAACCGAATCCTTTTACAATTCAATATGCCTCATATAGAAAACAAGTGAGTGAAGCACAATTTGTTATTTGAATTGACTTTAACAATTGTTTTCTTGAGTGAGATATGAACACTCTTACTGAGTCAAAAATGTGGGTGAGTGTAGATATTGTATTCACCTAGCATCCATATCCACCCAGTCTCCTCGAAGACGAAAATCATATGACGTTCAATCAAGGTATAACACATGGCTTTTTTCATAACAATAACTTCTTGTTATCTCTTGTGTCTAATTAATCACACTAGATTCAAATACAACTGATTATACACAGGCCAGAGAGGTTTTTTATTTTTTTTGTGCTTGTACAGAACTTAAGAAACTATCGGGATTGAAAAGATTAAAAAAGCAATAAAATTTTAAAGTTTGTTCAGTTGTAAGAGAAAGATGAGAGTGTTATGAATATTTGACAATATTCAATGACAAGAGTTTTCATCTCAATCAAATATTCTTTCTTCGAAACCATTGAGTCTTAACGATACAAATTATAAAATAACAACTCAGTAACATCTTATACTCATAATGTTTTATAGATCATCATTTGTTAATGTAGAAGTTCATAGAGAAAATGTTTTTAAAAATTGTTTAAATTAACAATGGCAAATATAATAGATCAAGATTATGTTTAAAACAAATGATGTTGAAATTATTTTGAAATACTCAGTAGAATTTTTACACATGTAAAACAATTTTTTTATATTAAATACGCATGACAAATTTTCTACCTGTCAAAAAATCTTCATAATATTATTCAAAGAGTATAAAATCATCAGGAGAAATTTTTTATGTGTCAAGTTAATTGTTGTTGTATAAGATGACGAATCTGTTTGTATTCAAGTTATTCACAAGTAATGAAAACTGAGAAAATGATTTTCTAAACTCTCTTTTTCTTTAAGTAATCATTCAAGGTTGATTCATTACTGCTTTTCTTGATAGTGTCTTTTATTGTTGATTGTTTTTTGTTCTCTTCTAACAAGTGAGAGAATCAACAGAGAAAGTTTAGACAGATAATTAATAAAAAATATAGAGTTTAAATATATTCTAAAGTCATGTTTTTACTTATTTTTATATATTTTAATAAATACAAGTGCTGTGAAATCTTCTCATTATAATTGCTTTTCCAATTAGTCGAGTTAAATCAAAGAAGCGAGTATTCTTTATATAGTAACTTGTTCAATTATGTATTCTTTTAATTTTTATATAGGCCACATAGTTTTCTAATCGAAGAATAAAATAATATAGCATGCGTCGTCTCTTTTAACTTTTCTCTCTCGTTCCTTCTTTATTAATTCATTTCTCATAATCTATTTTACAAGCAATACTCAATTGAAGAAAAATCTTTTATGCTAATTCCAGCTTCAGTTCGTTTTTACACGTATTTTCCTCTTCTAATTCCATCAATACCATGTTCAATTTTCATCCTTTATCATTTTCTCACTAAGCGAACACTTCGTCAAGCTCTAAATAATCATGTCATTATTTTAATTCTTATTCTTGGTCTTATCTATGAGTTAACTGATGTTATATGGTTGATGCATTATTATCGAGTTCATGTTTCATTATTTCAAATACCAACATTTTGTCTCATATGGGTATTTATTGATCTTGGAATATTTGTAACAATAACAATTTTAGTTGCATGGGCATCTATTCAACGACATATTCTTATCTTTCATGATAAATGGGTTTCAACAAAAAGAGGTCGCCTATTATTTCATTACATACCTTTGTTTCTATTTTTAGTTTATCCTATTCTATTTTATATATACATTTTCATTATTATGAATTGTCAACAACCACTTGACTATAAAATAATGCGTTGTGGTTATTCTTTTTGTGCTTTCTATGATCCAATAATTGGAAAATATGATAGTATTCTACATCAAATTATTCCTACTTTTACAATTGTTACATTTAGTTTTCTTCTTGTTGTACGTGTATTATGGCAAAAACGTCGTTTACGTCAACGAATTCAATGGCGCAATTATCAAAAAATGGCAATTCAATTGTTACCTATTGCTAGTATTTATCTAATCTTTTATTTCCCCTCTATGATTATATATCTTATGTTCGCATCCAATGTGCCACTTAGCACTGGCGCTCTTGATTATTATGGTTCGAGTATTTTTTTCATTCCTCATATCATTATGGTGATTCCTTTTGCAACTATTTTCTCACTTCCTGACCTTCGAACAAAACTTAAAATAAAAATTTTATTTTGGAAACGACCAGTACATCCTTTGGCTCCGCGAACAATAGAAATGAACCGCAAAGGAAATGCTCGAACAGCTGTAATTATACAAACTGCTAAATAATATATTTTAATGTATTAATCATTAAAGAATTAAGTAGAAATAATAAATATCGATGATGTGGATGTCTCTATTTGAAACAGTAACGATAAATATTGAAAATTTTATAGAGCAAAGTATAAATAAGCTATAGAATATTATAATGAAAAATCAATAAGAAATAAACTAGATATCTCATAATTCACAACCAAAAGAGAACAATAAATATCTGTATAACTAGTATTTTTTTTCGCTTAATATACGCTTTTATACTGAATTCAAGTCACTAACAATCAATAGAGATTTATATTCAATAGTAAACAATAACAACAACTTGTTCACACATATCGAGTAAGACTGTTGAGGATGTGAATATAATCAATATCCAGATCAACTGAGAATCTTAGGAAAACTAAAAATATCAAAGGTTTTTTAAACAGTCTGATCATATAACGTTAAGGGTGTGGGTGAAGTAAAGATGAATCCACACTCATGTTCACACCCACACCTACCCACAAGCAGTGTTTCTAATAGCAAGTGTACCAAGCATAATCGAAATGTACGGAACACTTGCTCCTCTTGAAATACACGCCGCGGTACACTTATCCCAAAAAGTAGAGTGTACGAAATAACCAAGGGGGAAACAGCTGATTAGGAAACTGCTAATCACTCTTAATCATCCCTAATCACTCATAATCATCCTTAATCATCCCTAATCATCCCTAATCATCTCTAATCATCCCTGATCACTAATAATCATTCCTAATCACTCTTAATCACCCTTAATCACTC